TTGACCATCTGGTGATGTCCATGTGTAGAGTCTTCTCTTGTGTTGTTGGAAGAGGGTGTTTGCTATGACCAGTGCGTTCTCTTGGCTAAACTCTATTAGCCTTTGCCCTGCTTCATTCTGTACTCCAAGGCCAAATTTGCCTGTTACTCCAGGTATCTCTTGACTTCCTACTTTGCATTCCAGTCCCCTATAATGAAAAGGATATCTTTTTTGGGTGTTAGTTCTAAAAGGTCTTATAGGTCTTCATAAAACTGTTCAACTTCAACTTCTTCAGCATTACAGGTTGGGACATAGACTTGGATTACTGTGATATTGAATGGTTTGCCTTGGGAACAAACAGAAATCATTCTGTCTAGATCCCACATGTGGCAACTAAAAATTCTACATGTGCAATTAATGATCCCATGTGACACAACTAAGACCTGGCACAACCAAATAAATAAATATATTTTTTAAATGATTAAAAAAATTAACAGCTGAGATTAATATGTGTGTGTGTGTGTGTGTGTGTGTGTGTGTGTATCTTTCTAACAGACTCCCTATTAACTTTAGTAACTAATCTCCCCCAGAGAAATTAAGAATTATTCCTGTGGTAGATTCAATAAATATGTCTGCCCATTGCCTACTTGTTCAGTCGCTAAGTCATGGCCAACTCTTTGCAACCTCATGGACAGTAGCATGCCAGGCTCCTCCGTCCTCCACTATCCCCTGGAGTTTGCTCAGATTTATGTCCATTGGGTCATTGTCCCATTCTCTGCTTCCCCTTTCTTCTTTTGCCTTCAGTCTTTCCCAGCATCAGGGTCTTTTCCAATGAGTTGGCTCTGTGCATTAGGTGGCCAAATGTTGGAACTTCAGTTTCAGCAACAGACCTTCCAGTGAATATTCAGGGTTGATTCCATTACGATTAACTGGTTTGATCTCTTTGCAGTCCAGAGTTCTTTCAAGAGTCTTCTCCAGCACCACAATTCAAAAGCATCAATTCTTTGGCACTCAGCCTTCTTTATGATCCAACTTTAACATCCGTGCATGACTACTGGAAAAACCATAGCTTTGACTATACAGACTTTTGTCAGCAAAGTGATGTCTCTGTTTTTTAATACACTATCTAGGTTTGTCATAGGTTTCCTTCCAAGGAGAAAGCATCTTTTAATTCCCTGGCTGTAGTCACCATCCACAGTGATTTTGGAGTCCAGTCCAAAATCCAAATAAATAAAAGCTTCCAATCCAAAATAAAATCTGTCACTGCTTCCATTTTTCCCATCTATCTGCCATGAAGTGGGACCAGATACCATGATCTTAGTTTTTTGAATGTTGTTTCAAGCCAGATTTTTCACTCTCCCCTTTCACCTTCATCAAGAGGCTCTTTAGTTCCTCTTCACTTTCTGCCATTAAGAGTGATATCATTTTCATGTCTGAGATTGTTGATATTTCTCCCGGCAATCCTGACTCCAGCTTGTGATTCATCCAACCCAGAATTTTGCATGATGTACTCTACATATGAATTAAATAAGCAGGGTGACAATATACAGCCTGTCGTACTCCTTTCCCAATTTTGAACCAGTCAGTTGTTCCATGTCTAGTTCTGACTATTGCTTCTTGTCCCACATACAAGTTTCTCAGGAGACAGGTAAGGTGGTCTGGTACTTCATCTCTTTTAAGAATTACCCATAATTTGTTGTGATCTAAACAAAGGCTTTAGCATAGTCAATGAAGCAGAAGTAGATGTTTGATCCTTAAAGGGCTGTCTTTTTTTTTCTTCAATTTCTACAAAAATGCCTGCTGGGATTTTGACTGGGATTGTATTAAAGTTAGTAGCAGCAGCAGCAGCAGTGTTAAAATCTATACATCAATTTGAGGAGAATAGATATTTTAGAAGTGCTGAATCTTCCAATCCATAAGTATGCTATAAGCACTACATTTATTTAGATCTTTAAACTTTTTCTGTAGCATTTTTTAGCAGTCTTATACATCATTCATTAAATTTACTCCATTATGTTTTGGGTTTTGATGCAATTATAAATGGTATTTTTAAAAATATCTTTTAGTTGGTTGTTACTAGTAGTACAGAGGTACAATTTGTCTTTCTATATTGATCTTGTGTTTTGAGACCTTGCTAAATTAAATTCAACTTATTCTAGTAGATTTTCTTCATTCCTTCCTTCCTTCTTTTTTTTTTTTTTTTGTCTTTTCCTTAGGATTTCCTATATAAGCAATTATAACATTTGTAGATAAAGATAGTTTTACTTTTTCCTTTCCAGTGTTTCTATGATGTGTGACAGCGCTGCACAGAAGTGGTGAGAGTGGACATTCTTGCCTTTTTTCCTATACCAGAGAGAAAACATTCAGCCTTTCCCATTAAGTATGATGTTAATTTTAAGTTTTATGTAGATAACTTTTATTAGATTGAAGAAGGTTCCTTCTGTTTTTGATTGTTGAGTGTCCTTACCATGAGCAGGTATTAATTTTGTTAAATGCTTTTCTTGTATCTTCTGAGATGATTTATGATTTTTCCTCCTTATTTCTGTTAGTATGAATTATATTAATTGATGTTTTAATGCTAAATCAACCCACATTCCTATGGTTAAAATCCACTTGATCCTTTTTATGTATTGTATTGAATTCAATTTGTTGATATTTTATTAAGATATTGGCATCTACATTAATGAGGGACTTTAGTCCGTTTCTTTTTCTTGTGTTATCT